AGTTGAGAAGCGTGTTTCTGTGTACTGCTGTAGCTACTGTACAGGGCCATCAAATGTACAACTTTTCAGATATGGATATGCCACTCTACTGCTTTCTTTGGTGATAGGCTAATTTCTCAGTTAAGCAATGAGTAAATCTATCTGTTGTTGTTCCAGCTTTATGTATTTTATTTCTAATGCTGGCACAATCATCATTTTCTTGTTTTCGCCAAATAAAAAATATATTGTGCCAATCATAGGATCAACTTGCTCAATACTTATTTCATAAGGTTATGCTCTGAAGTTCAAGAAACACTGACTATATAGGCTGACTGGCAGGACAATTATACTTTAACTTGAGACAAATTTCTTTTCCTTTTTGACCCTAGCTGTCTACCTAGTAAAGTGAGGATTCTGGTACAGAACACAAGTGCCCAGATGACTTTGAATACCCCAAAGGAATATGTTAAAAATAAGCTCTCCAACTCCCTAGCCCAAGCAGGAATCTGAGATTCTTCTAGTACTGATACCCCATGACTTTCTGAAATAGGGCTGAACAGATGAAAATAGAACCACTTCCCCCCAAAATGATTAATTTCTGACTTTCAGTTCCCTTAAAGAGCTAGCAAAAAGCAAGGGTAGCTGAACACTTGATGAGAACACTGCTTAACCATGGGTAGAAGCATGCATATACTTCAAGTAGCCAAGGGCCACTACTATACAGAATGGGGGTGAAAGCCAGGACAGATTAAGGAAAGTGTGCATCTTCATCCAATAGGACCCTCAAGTCCACTGCCTAGCAGAATCAAACAACTATGGCTGGGCTTTAAGCAACTTCATCCTGCAGAATCACGTAGGACAGGGAAGAACAGGAAAGGAAAAGAAACAGGCAGAAAAGAAAGCAGTTGGCAGAGCTTAAATGGGCAGAGGAGCCCCTTGGCCCAGCTCTGTGTTCATACAACTCTCTAACAACCTCCAAGTGAGGCCACACACACTTCCGGAGGAATCCACTGAGGCAGAGCTGAAAGATGCTCATACATACCACTCCCCAAAAGGAATGCAAAAATTATATACTACAAACATGAACTGAGAAAAAAATGTAAAAAAAAAAAGTCACCAATCTCCAAAACATTTTAGAGCAATAAAAATTTCAATTTTTTTTTTCCAAAAAGGAATGTCAACATTGTTATCATTGTAATCATTCAAGAGAATATACAGGATCCCTAGAAAAGAGGACTTGTTTTATTACAAATATTAGTAACCAAGAAAACACTGCTTACATTAAATAAATATATGTGTCAGGCTGGGGATTTCGCTCACTGGTGCCACTGCCTACCTCACAAGCCCAAGGTCCCGAGTTCAATCCCTGGTACTACAATAAATAAATAAATAAATGTGGTAGAGAATTTAAAACAAAAGAAGCTCACTATTCAAATTCTACAGGGAAAGTGGTCCCAATAAATGAAACATGTTTTTATACATCTTGTAATTACTTATAAAATAGAATGGCTAGATGGTATTAGGTATGTACTAAAAGCATTAATTTCTTAAATCATAAGTAGACCAAATTTTTATATTCCTGTTTTGAAATTTTCTAATGTATGGGGAGCTCAGAGATGGATGTGGCTCAAGCTTCTCCTCAGCTTCTAATTTATTTTTTTGTTGCTAGTTCAGTGGTAAAAGGAGCTTAACTCAAGGTGTGGTCAGAGAGAGTGAGAGAGGGGTGAGCTGAAGGGATATAACACGGTTGGCCTAAAGAGGGCCTGACAGCCACTTGAATATGTGTGTCAAGAATGATTTTGTAAGGGCTGGAGATGTAGCTCAGTAGTAAGCTTGGCTTAGTGTGCATGGATTAGATCTCCAGCACTGAAAAAAATGAAAATAAAATGTAAAGATCCTGCAGTTTCTAGTCTAGGTCACTGGGAGGATGATGGTGCTAATTGATAGGAAGTCAGGAGGGGACGTAGCATGCATGAGGTGATGACGAGTTCGACTGCTGGTGTAAAGGGCTTTTGGCTTTCAGCGGGTCAATGTAACAGCACTGACAAAACTGCTCGAGCAGACAAGAAGGGCAATGAAGAGCCTTAGCCCCATGTTTTGCCCTGAACCATGGAAGGCAAACCTTCAGAAAAGCACTGACGTAATTCTTAGGAAAATCACAATTCCTTTAGATAACTGAGTCATTCATCACAGATCTCCTTAAAAAGTCCCCTCTAAGGTCAACTCATAGCATGCATA